AAAAACAAACAAACAAACGTCCAAAAAAAAAAAGTGGCTTGTTAAAAAAAATAAAAAAAAGGGCTGGGACCAAAAAAGTTTGTAAACCCTAAACCTAAAGTGGCCTGGAAAAAAAAAACAAAAACAAAATGGGCTAGTCAACGGGCTGGCTGGCTGGCTGAAGATGGCCAACAGGTTGGCCCTCTGGCCCATTCAGATTCCGTGGAGCCCACGAGCCCTTTACCCTAACCTTCGGTTGGAGACGGTTTTCGGACTATTTTCAACCATCTGATCCTCTGAACCCTTCGGTTGGAGATGACCTGATGATATGAGCAGTGAGCTCCTTTTATCCCAATCACTCCGCTTTAGCTTCCATCCCTACAATCCACTCTTCAATTATGTTTTGCTTTTCTTAATTGGCTCCACCCTTTTATTTGTCACTTTAATAAACATCAACCAAAAAGATGATTTGGGAATTTCCAATTGTCACTAATCTAATCATCTTCATCATGCATTGTATGTATTATGATTAATCAAATTTACCAATCGGATCCAAATCTCTCTCTCTCTCTCTCTCTCTCTCTCTCTCTCTCTCTCTCTCTCTCTCTCTCTCTCTCTCTCTCTCTCTCTCTCTCTCTCTCTCTCTCTCTCTCTCTTTATATATAACATATAATTGCTACATGTTCTTGGGGTGTTGAAAAGTAGTAGGTTAGCAACCACTTGCTAATAATCAACAATCCACAAGGCTGTAATTGCGCTCTTAATTACTCTCTCTCTTACTTTTTTTTTTTTTTTTTTTGCTCCTCCTTATGCTTTCATAAGGGTGGGTGGGTGTATGATGATATAATAAAGTAGGAGTACGCTAGTTCTAATGTTGGAAACCATTCATTGTAAAAATAAAAAATAAAAAAATAAAAAAACGTGAAGATTGATGTTTTACACAATTGTAATGACTGTTAATCTATCAATGAAATCACTATTGTTTCTCTTAAAAAAATGATAATAAATTAGGTAAAGTGGGTATAGATGGTAAAATTTGGTCACTCACTTTCTTTGACTTATATACCTTAATTTGCTAAAATTTGGTCATTCACTTTCTTTGACTTATATACCTTAATTTGCAGCATCACCTTTTAGCCTTTTAGCTAGTTGTGGAAGTCCTGTTCTTTCTTTGTGTGTTGAGTTGAAATCACTCCGCCACCCGCTCCCCCCCCCCCCCCCAAAAAAAAAAAAAAAAGAGAACACCGTTCACTTCTTTTGGCAGTTTTTCCAATTGTTTCAGTTGGTTGAATGGTTCCCGCTTTTATTCGCTCTCTGTCTTAACCCTCAAGCTAGTAAGCTACTACCATATGATTCTATGTGAGGGGCCACCAATAAGAAATGTAAACGTAAGTGAGACGTTTATTCTAATGTAGAGAAATGCTAAGAAAACTCTCTTTAAGTTGGACATAGACTATTTATCGTCTCATAATTTAAAGTTAATTTTTATATCAACATTATAAAATATTGTACCAAAAACATATAGCAGAAAGTTCATAGAGAATTTTACTTTAAAAAAGTCTCTTTCGCATATATCCTTTCAAGTTCGACCATTAATCACTAGTGTTAACCACTCTCAAGGCATGATTCATCAGACACAATCTCTCTCTCTCTCTCTCTCTCTCTCTCTCTCTCTCTCTCTCTCTCTCTCTCTCTCTCTCTCTCTCTCTCTCTCTCTCTCTCTCTCTCTGAAGATAAGACATAGGTGATTGATGGCCTATGAGGGATGAGGAGGTTGGATCGGATGGACCTCTAAGAGAGCAGAGCTTGGAAATAGAAATGGAAAAATAAAAAAAATTGGATATATCTGGGTGGAAACTAGAACTAAGTGTGACGCACCCCAACCAGAATCGAGGCATGCTGGCCATCACGTGAGGGTGACGTAGTCATGAGCGCAGAGTGAAAGTGATGGTGATATGAAAATGTGAGTATTAAAAGCCGAAACTAACTAATTTACACTAGACAAGTATATAAGTGCGAGTGAAGGTACTTAAAGTGTGGTTACACATATTCAAAGTATAGGTAACCTAAGTGCAGTCCATCAGGCTAAGTATTAATTATATAGGACATGAAAGAAAGAAAGTTCCTACATTATTTGAAGTTTGTCAAAACCGCTGTAGAATCCTCATAAGCCACCAACATGAACGTCTAACTAGAACCTGGAGGGGCACAAAACAGAAAACGTGAGTGGGCAATAACAAAGTTTTTCAAACCATTTCATTCTCCGAAAATAATAATTCCTCACTGTAAAATCCGTATAATTTCCCAGAAAATAGTAATACATATGTATGTAGAATCATACTCAAGAGTAATGAAAACTGAGTATATGCCATATAAAGTATCTCAACAATGAAATAAGTAAGCCAGGTGAAATAAATCAATATAAATGATATGTCAGCCGGAGTCACCTAACGTGACCTGTACGGCTGAACCTATAGCTCATTAAATATGCATGCACACGAGTCGGAACCACCTATTATGGTTTGTACGATAGGGCTGGGTGTAATTAAGTACCCTTAAGTGCTACGATCACGTGAAGGCTGTGCAAATAATCGCGAGTCACCTATGAGTCGGAACCACCTAATGTGGTCTGTACGACAAGGCTGTGCACCAAACTTGGATCCAAGGTAAGCGTGCGGTGCGGGAGGTGAACATCACGTGATTGACTGTGCCCTGGCCACGGGCGGGAGCACTAACATCGGGGTGCAGGATAATGAGCTCTAAATGCATCTACGTATAATCACAAACAATGCATCCACTTTCATCATTATATACTCACTTGAAGCTTACCTGGACGTCCGCAGCATCAAGCAACAATATGCATATCTATACTAATGTATACCCTAAAGCATAATGCAATTGACATGGCATTTAAAACGTAAATCCATTTAAAACAATTTTTGGGAAAATGTAAAGTATATATATGTATATAGAAAACCAAAAGCCCATTCACTAATATGTAGCAGGGTTGTAATCCCCGAGTCTCGCCTGGCTACGCTTGTCCTCTGGAAACGTCTCACCTGACGCTGTTAGTATATTCCATCAAAGTTGACGAAATATTCTTCTTTCTCCTCCGTTGGTTGGCCAGATTCCGGCACTGATGCCGTTGCGTCGCCGGTTTCTATTTGAAGTCCTAAAACCGAATAAAAATGGTCGGAAAAAACCTTCGAAACCTTCGGCTAAACCTGCAACTCGGTGAATCCCTTTATCCCGACGTTTTATCCACTCCCAAACTAACCTAGGGTCTTTTTAGAGTTGATTAGGACCCTTTTAGAACCTTAAAACCTTGTAGAACTTCGGCGATCATGTCGGAGTAAACTTCCACCTCGCTGGAGCTCGTGTGTTCTTAGGTTTTTGAAGTCCTTTCTTCGAACCAATGGTACCACCAAGCTTATGAAGTCGAGAGAAGGGTGATGGTAACCTCAGTGGGTTCGATCCGTGACGTTTTGATAGTGTTTGAAGGTTAGAAAGCTCGAGTCGTACAGACGATAGAAAATTCGAGAGAAATGGTGAGGGTGAGAGTTACGTATGTGTGTGTGTGGGTGTGTCAGTGTAGGTTACGGGATTGGGCAACATAAAAGGATCATAAGCCCTGATTGGGCTATGTGATTTAGGGCCTAACAATTGGTCCAAAAGAAATAAAACAAGCCTAAAAATTCTAATTGGGTCCAAGGTTGTAGGAAAAGAAGATAATTGGTGGATAGGTTATGGACAACCCAAAATTATAACTCTACCCAATTACACCTATTCATTCGTAACTTCCTCATCACAACTCCAATTCGAGCCTAACTCGTGTCAACATTTTCATGACGTCACGTATAATTTAATCACGTCAGCTGGAAAAATAATTTAAAACTATAAACGTACATCCACGTCACTAAGCCTCGAGGGCATTACCGTCACTTTACATACTCAGGGATAACATATATATACAATAAATTGGGACGGGTCGTTACAAAGTGTGTACCAAAACTAGAAGAGAAGAGCTCAAGACTTCCAGGAATCCAAGTGGTGGTAGGAGGGATTTTTTAAAAACTCCGACTCGGAATGTTTACTTGGACGCTTGGATCGAACTACGTTGACCGACATTTGAAGGATGACGAAGTCATAAAGTGATGATAATGCGGAAAGTGCTACTAATTTAAAACTTGAAGTAACTAATACTATTGTGCGCGTGCAAACAATGTTGAAATCTTATCGCACAAGTGATGTTAGAGCATAAATAAATTGTAATAAAAATAAAGTAAGAACATTTACATCGTAAGGAGAAGCCTCCTTCATGTCAACTTTTGCTATAAATTCTCAGTCACTAGAGCTTTGCCACTAAATTAAACAAAAGTGAGTGGATCTATAAAATAAAGTTTTGTAAAACGTTTTCAAAGAGTATAACCCTTCGATGTAAAACAAGTATATAGCTTCCATAAAATACTACTTTGAGATAACTGTTATACATGTACCCCATATGATCCGACTTACAATACATGCCGATTGCTATACAGTATTACATAGTACCCCACATGTTATCATACAAGTGAGGAAATTGATATTATTTATGCCTCTCTAATGGTATTATAACATGCAGAGTGTTGAAGAATATGATCTCATATCAGTTATATGACAGAGTAATATACAATTAATATATGAGCACTTCCACTCCTAACATGAGCGGTGCCCCTTGCGACAAAGCCTAATACCTAACAATAAGTAACATAAAGTACCTACTTAAATACCGGACAATTTAAAAAAAAAAAAAACTAATAAAAAAAGCTTGAAAACTTTGAATTTTAATGATAAAAAGTAAAATGAATAGTACCAGGATTGACTTTTTAGTGTAAAAATATGATTTTTCGTTAAAATGAACAGTACCAGAAGCTTTTCGTTAAAATTCCCTTTAAAAAACTTTTGGTGGTGATAGAACTAGAAGAAATAAATAAACACGTGTTGTATGAATGTTGTGATCACATTAACATGGCCCAGTCACAACTCAGAAAACTTCTCTTCTCCTCTTCTCTTGTGTGCATTTATTAATCAAAATAAATATCATCATACGATTACTGATTTACAATACAGTAGTTCTACTCTACTCTACAAGCCATTAACTGTCAACCAACAAACCCATTTTCCTTTTCTTGGAAGATTTGGTGCTGTTTTTGCTCCAACTACAGTTTGGACAAAACCAGTCATCCTCCGGAACACTTTCAAGCGGTGGATTGCAGCACTCGATATGAGTACCAATTCCACACCCCACGCTCCCAATTTCGTTGCCGCATATCAACATCACCTCTCCTCTCTCCCCACACCCACACACCACGCAAGCTATATCACTACCATCGCTGCAACTAGAATCATCACCATCCTCACCTGTAAACGCTTCCTCCACCATGTCCTCCGCCCTGCTCTGTACTCTCTCAAATGACTTCTCCGCCCACGCATTGGTGTTGTATAGCACGTGTCTGTCAAGCCGGTGCCCAGGTTTGCACACGTACTCAACCAAGTAATCGGCCACAACGCAGGGTATCTCATGCTTCAACAACTCTTGTACCCACATATCAGCACGGGGCATGCCTGGACTGACAATGGCATAGTCAACCCCCGACTTAAGGAAGCGGGTGTAAGGAGGAGAAGTCGCCAAAATTGTTCCATCACCAGCCTTCATGACACGCTTCAGAGTATCCTGTTTGAAGACAACTAGTGCACATTCTGGTTAACTCTAGTTGGCTTTCAATGGATTCCGAGTAATAACATCCCCCATAAGCATGAAAAAAAGAATTGGACTATTTGAGAAAGATATCTAATGTTCTTTAGCAAAAGATAAGGCATTATTTACATCAGAACAATGTAAAAAAAAAATCGAAATTAAAATTGGAAAAAATGACATACCAAAGGTGGTGCAATACATTCGCCATATATGATAATGCGCATTCCGTGGAAAGCACCATGGCCTGTTCTCTCTCTCAAGAGCCGCCACTTCCTTGGGGCCTCCAAATTGATGGTACCATCTTCACCAAGGCCATTCTTGTACCATTCATAAGGTTCTTCTTCCAAAAACCTTCCTTCCTTATCACTAGCTTCCAGATAATCACTCTTAAGAATCCACCTGCACTCAACGTACGTAGAATACATTATAGCATCCATTTGCACTGTGAAAATTCAATTAGCTGATCCCAAGAATCCTAGGATAAAGGCACACTAATGAGATAACAATAACATACATACCTTCCAGACGCTACAGCTGCGAAAAACTTCTCTGTCCTGCCAACTCGATCTGGAGAGATGAAGTGCGTTGCCTGGTAAGACCAGTGATGAGAATCCCGGCAACATTTTGCTTTCAAACGCTTGATAACTTTCTGAAACTCCTTTCTTTGAAATCGGTGCCCACTCAGAATAAACCTTACAGGTTCAATTTTAACTTTGCTTGGAGCCTTCCCTTCAGGTGTTGAAGGATTGTCACTTCTCTCCACAGATGTTTGAATTATCTTCAACGGAGTTGTATCAGATTTAGCTGTTGATTTTTCTGCCTGCTGTTTGGACTTGCTTACAGTTTGATCTCCACCAACAGTTGGCCTGTTCTCCTTCATTTCGGAAGAATCCTCTAACTTATTTTGGGGCACAACACGGCACTCAGATTTGCCTACTAAACCTGCACATCTTTTTTCTTGTTTCTTTTCTATCACCACAGTGTTATCATTCCTAGTATTTTCCTCAGAGACAACTTTGTTAGGTTTTTGGGAGCAGCCTCTCCATAAATGGGGGTAAGGCTAGCCGACATTCACCTCTCCCAGACCCTGCGTAAAGCAGGAGCCTTGTGCACTGGGTACGACGACAACTTTGTTAGGTTTCACAACATCCGTGACAGGGGGAACAGTTTTCAGCTTGGTTTTACCCAAAGCAAGCTTTTTCCCTTGTTTCTTCTTTCCCTTGACAGCATTTCCGTTTGCAGTTGACTCAACTAGCAGATAAATGTTGTCAGAACCTGACTTGACCATTACATCACAAGGAGCACAGGCATCAGAGTGATCCTGTAGGTGCTGCTCCTGTCCTGACCTATCATCCATGGTGACACATTTATTTGTTGCCTGGGCCACCATAACCAGCTTCATGAAGTACATTCTCCAATTTATGTTCATGTTCTTCCACCGGAGCCTAGTTTCATCATCCATAGATTCACAGTTTTTCTCAGCAACATCTGCAGACATGTTAACATCTTTTCCCTCCACCTTGTTTGGGGGTTCAAAATTAACATCTGAGCAGAGCACACCAAGCTTCGTGGGATCAGGGGATTTTTCATGATCCCCTGCATTGAAAATAATTGCGGTATCATTTAAGGAGGCATCTTTATATAAGTGCACAGACCCCTTTTGGTTAGCAGAAACTAACTTAGGCCAAGAACCTAGAGTCTTCTTGGACTTCACCTTCTGCTTAAGATGTTTTGTTACCAAGTCATTATTTCTCTCTTTAAGCAAGTTCAGACTAGCAGGGTCGTTGGCTGATTTTGCAGTTCCACCGTTTTGGTGACCGCAGTTGTAGACTTTTCCTCAGCAGAATCTACAATGCCAGGCTTGCTGGATAAGCTGGATTTTCTTAATCTTCAAAAAGTGGTTGGAGATGATTTCGTGTTTGCATTTACATCTTTCCCCATGTTTGAGATCACAGTGGCAGAGAAAGTCAAAGCAATTGAAATTCCTGCAACATTCAAATTGCCAGTTTTATCCAGAGAGTGGTCATCTTTTGCAACGATATAATGGCTAGTAGTCTCCATGAACCATCAATCAAAGATGTAGGCTTTACTTTTGGAGATCTAATACTAGATGAAGGACTATGCATGCTACCTGATTTTGCACCCGGATTCATCTTCTGTGATTTGGAGCTAGTATAAGAGAGATCCATCACCCTTTTCCGAGGAAATATACCACTTGACTCTTCTCTGTTCTGTAAATTAGTATCTTTTAAAGGGACTTCAACACAATTGGAGTCAAATTTTTCATCTGCTTGATCTGCTTTCAAAGTATAAGAGGCCAAATCATCATTGGCATTTAATTTGCGAATAGGTACTTTAGAAGACACACTACCACCGCCTGATTTATTTCCCATGTGTAATGGAAGTGTTGGCCTCCATGAGGTTTGCCTTGAGTAGCTTAATTTCCCAGCCAAGTGAGAAGCCCTTTCAGCAGAACCACAATTAATTATGAAATCATCTCTCACCTTAGGATCAGGGGTTCCGTGATGTTGATCATTTAGGTCACGGCCACTAGCAGCCCTCAACTGGCATGCATCCTGACATCTTAATCCCTTGGAAACATAAGAATTAGAAACGCTTGAGGCTTGATCCAATTTATTCTCATTCCGAGGAATTGATAAGTTGCCAATGGCATTATTAAAAACCAAGGGAACATTAGGCATCTCTCCTTCTGGTGTAGGCAATCTAGGTGTTGTTGGTGAGCCAGCTTTTATATTGTGAGGACTCTTATACATGCTTCTCAGTGTTCTCACCCCAGCTTGCTTCACAAATGTGTTTTCAGCCTCATCTTCTGAATCTCTAGCCTCAGCCTCCATCATCTCCAGTTCATACCCACTGTTGAGAGAGTGAGAGATCAGCATATAAATTTGCAGGTCTATACAGAAAAATATAGTTCAAAAGTTCACACGCAACCAACTCACCTAGTGTTGTAAGTATCTTCTGGAAGAAGTTGCCAATCCCTTAAGCTGAAGCATGTAAAAAGGAGCTTAGACGGAAACAAATAAACAATTCATAGGGATGGAAAGCTTCTTTTCTTTTGTTTCAACAATCTGAAGAGATGCCAAATAATATCAGAATTTCAAAACATAAGAGAGTGAACAGAACATGAACTCACCAATCTTCCAACCAATGATACACCAGCTTCATCTTTGGGATTTTCTTGGCAAGTTCGTACTTCTCCCCTGACAATATAAAAATAATTTGTTTCGTAACTTTCAATACAAAAGTCAAAGAGCTAAAGAAGAATGCATAACAGATAATGGATAAAATGCAAATCCTCAAATTTGTAGCACACGAGATGGGTGACTTTGTTTGCCACCAATGGCTTAGAAAACTTAGCACCCATTAACCCAACCATTGTCTGATAAAGAAAACAGAAACAAATCACAAGACAGGCACTCATGAAACAAATCTCCAGTCTCCAGTAGGGCCTATATCAGAAGCATTGCAAAAAACTAGAAATGCGTACCATAATGTCATCTCTATCTTGTCGTTGATATCCAGTCAAGCATACAATAAGTCCCTTGGCATCCGGAATACCATTCAAATCTCTAAGAGGTCTGTATATAATCTGTGCAAAAGGATAATATTAATACAGAACAGTACTTGCAGACTCAAAGGTTCTTTAAACTATGGCAGATCGAGTTTTCACACAAAGATTCAGTGAAATTTGGAACTTTGAAACTGTGCATTATCATGTATTAAATAAATGAATAAATGGAAAACTTCACTGGGAATGAGGGCATGTTCAAGAAGCTTGATCCCAAAACAAAAGAAAGGAGCAGAACTGGAAAATGATAAGACAAGTAAGACTGAGAAAGAAGGGAAACAAAACTCACCGAAGCGGGATCAACGGGGAGTCCAACATCAAAACTATGATGGACCCATAAAGCGGTGACGAGCGTCTTGGCGTCATTTCGAGCAGCAACACACGGGATCATCCTACACAATGTAGGAAAATGCGCATAATACAGCATTCTTTCACTAATTCTACAATAAACGCAGAAACGGACACATCGCATGAACGTCTTAAAGCGTCAAAACAGAAGCTTGAAGAAGAAATTACAAGGAAAAATAGACTTACATACACAATTTTATCGACAATGACGTGGGTACAATTGGGGGAGTAGTGGGCAACATCCACTCCGCCGCAATCTACAAGCTTAGATCGAACCTGCGCGATTCATAAACACAAAACCAAACTAAGCAAGGCTACCACATTACACATGGAAATTTGAGATATTTGAAATTCCTTAGACTGAAGATACAAGGGGGAAGGAGGAAGGAGGACCTGGTGCTCGTCAAAGGTGTCAAATCCCAAGAGAAGGAAACGTACGCCGGCAAACGTCTCGGGCGTTGAACCTCCCCCCGTCATTGAAATTTGAATCCTTTCAACTCTCTCGCTCTCTCAGTGTGAGTCTCGGCAGTTAAATAACTAAAGCCTGGACCCAAGATTCATCCAGTAATAAAACCCCAAAAGGAAATGGAAGAAAGGCGCGATTCAAGGGGTGAGGCTGCAATGGCTTCTGCAATCTCATCTGCTTGCTTACAGCCTGAAACTTGTGGAGGAAGACTCAGAGACCGACTCACTGTTCCCCGGGGGGGGGGGAGAAAATGAAAATTATTAATTATTTTTTTATAATTAAAAAAGGGTGGGATATTTTGGTGCAGTTGCGGGAGGTCTAATTTGTGCGAGCGCGGCACGACAGATGTTGAACCGTGTCACTGCCCATTACCGCCAAGATTAAAGGGCCATGAAGCCCATAAACCGGCCAAGAGTCGTTGACATATATGATAAAATGGGCCTCTGGCTAAATGTTGGCGTAAAGTGAATCGTCAACGTTTCGATCAGATCAGATTGGTGAATCCAACGGTCAGCAATAAAACTAGCATGAATTGTGAGTGGAGAGTCAAGGACGGTGGGCGAATGAAAGAAGCAAAGCACCTACCTGCCATTTGCGACAATTCCAGAGAAGAAGAAAATAGTGAGAGAGTAGAGACTACTAGGCACAGACAGATTAGTGAGAGAGAAAGTGTGTAAGGCTTCAAGCTTCAATCGTTCAATCTCTTGCCATGGCTTGGTTGACGCGATTCCTAGCAGCCGTGGCTTTCTTGGCCATCGGAGTGATATTCTCCCCGGAGACCTTTGGATCGAAATCGGACGGTCTGAAATCGCCCACCCTCTCCACCTACCTAAAGCTGGCTCATCTGCTCTGCTTCTCCACCGCATTCGGCGCCGCTCTCTGGGTCACCTTCATCGGCGGCATCATCATGTTCAAGTATTCATTTTTTATCTTCTCTTGAATTTCCATTTTTTGTCAGTAGTTTTTTATTTTGGTCAAAGGAGAAGAATAACAAAAAATTGAATGATTGATGAATTGGAAAATAGGAATCTTCCGCGGCATCAGTTCGGGAATCTTCAGAGCAAGATGTTTCCGGCTTATTTCACCATGGTTGGGATATGCCTTGCAGTATCAGCTGGGTCGTTTGGGTATTTGCATCCGTGGAGCTCTTCCTCTGTTACCGACAAGTACCAGCTCGGCTTTTTGCTCTCTTCCTTTGCTTTCAATCTCACCAATCTCTTCGTCTTCACTCCCATGACTATCGAGGTAATCGCCAGTTTGTGACTATGTCTGTCTGCGGATTAGGTAGATAAAACGTATCACAACTATGTCTCTGTGTTTATCTGGTTAAGTCGCTGACGCTCACAGTGTAGTTGTTGGTTTATTTGGACCATAACATGCGCATGTCATCACTGTCTGTCATGGTGCCGGTGGGTGCAGATGATGAAGCAAAGGCATAAGGTGGAGAGGGAGCAGAACATTGGGGAAGAAGTTGGAGGGTCAAAGAATGTGCAAGTTGCAAAGGTAAACCCAAAACTGGCAGCCATGAATAAGAAGTTTGGTATGATTCACGGACTGTCATCTCTTGCCAACATCTTGGCATTTGGCAGCCTTGCTATGCACTCGTGGTACTTGGCTGGTAAACTTGATCTGTAAGAAAATAAAACCCCAACTTCCCCTTCGCTATGTTGGTTTTCTTCTCGGTTTCAGAAAGTAAAACACTTACGATTCATGTTGGAAGCATATTGTGTTGTGCCATTGGCCATCGGAGATGTGAGTTTTCTATCCAAGATGATATATATGCTTTTGTTTTGGTAGGCAATTTTTGTTTGTGGGAATCTGATCGGAAATTTGTTCTGGCCGCCCACCGATGGTGTGGCATCTTTCAGTGATGAATAGATGTTATGGCCATCGAAAATGTGTTCTTGCTGCGTATAGCATCTTTTAGTGATGAATAAATGTGACTGAGTCAATGTAGCACTGATTCCAAATGGCTTTGTGATATTTTCCTTAGTGCGCATTCAAAGGATCTTGCAAAGAGTTAACCTCACGGTTTTCTGCCAATTTGGCAAATTTCTGAAAAAAAATATTAAAAAAATAAAAATCATAAAATGTACAAAACATGTCTGTTTCATTAACAAGAGATTCATAATAATTTCATCTTGTTTACATAGGAGTATCCAGCTCGACATTCGTCAAGTCTCTGAGAAATGAGAATGGAACAAGAAACATCACCCTCACTCTGGATTTTGCTTTCTATTTCGAACAAGCAAACAAATTGAATAAAGAATCATCTAATTGTTCGGCCACCCACCCACCACCCATAAAACGTGAAACGTAACGTGAATCGCCCGCCCCTCTGATGCCTCGTAACCTAATACTGCTAGGTTACTGCTTAGTCACCGGAAACTGATGATGCTGTATGCTCCCAAGACTAACAATCGCGCCGGCACCAAAAGCACCACAAACAAATGCATGTGCTCCCATGCAACAAGTCTACTGAACCGTTTCAACGATTCTTTTCCGGTCTGTAATGCACCTGAAAAGTTTAATTGCTCTTCTTGCCCCAGGTTGATTCCCACAATCACACCTCCTGCATGCTTGCTCCGGGGTGCTATCAAGGGCCACCACACCTTGCGGCGCTGCTGTCTCCTGGCCTTTCTGATCTGGCTAAGCTCTTCCCGAATTACCCCGCGAACAGATTTTAAGTAAGAATTCACATCATGATCTCTTTGAATGGTTCCTTCTGAACCATATGCAGACCGATCACTTAAGATTTCAAGTGGGTGTGGTGAGTTTAGGAATACCAACTGTGCAGTGCGGAGCTGCTTCTCTGCATCACTGCCATCAGACAGAGGACAGCTTAGAAGATACAGACCGCTGCCCGATGGAAGAAGATGATGATTTGGGGAGAATTTCTCATCTGGTTGAAGAATCAGCATCTCCCCCATTGGAGAATACAGTAGCTTCTGTTTTGAGGAAAGACAAAAATGATCAGCTATAAATGTCGAAATCAGGGGAATGATGAAATGGATATATTCAATGTTTCTTCTGTTCTCCTATTGTGATCTTTCTGAGACAGTAGTAGTCTTACCTGGTTATTGAGACAGGGATGATTCCGAAAGTTCCCATTCAAAGCCTTGAGAAGCTCTGCCACATGATTTGGGTAATTGCAAGAGAAGGCACGGGGTACAATGTCTCTGTGCAACATAATAGACTGAACATGACTTCGCGGTAATCCAAGCTTGTGAAGCAATTGATCACCTCCACACATAATGGATGGTGCACCAAAAGTAATAACAGGAAGCAAGGAAGAAATTGGCACTTCTAGCCGTATAAGCAACATGAGATTTATCAAGAGTGCCAAGCTTCCCCCTAAAGAATGCCCAGTATAACGAAAGGTTGCATGGTCACCACGAGATTTGAGGTGGGCATGGACTTCAGGCAGCATCTGTTCGTATATCCCTTTCGCAGCCTCGTATATGCCTCTATGCACAAGCACATCCAGTCCCTAGAAAAAGAAGATTCATTCAATAAGTAATTACTTAAAAGAGCATTCTTCAATCATCTCATACAAACAAGGTCAATACAAAGACTAGGAAAACTAAAGAAAATGTGGAGAAGGGATTAACCTCAAACTGAATGGGCTCAAAAAGTAGATTTGCTTGCCAGGATGCTAGTGATTCAGACCCCTGCAAAACATGTAGATCGGAGGTCAAATATAGAAAACAAATGAGCTGGTAAGTAAGTTATAAAACTGGGAAATATTCTCTGAAACAGAAGTATAAAACCACAATCGGTTTCCTTACCTGAATGACAAAGAATCTGGTGCCACTTCGATCATCATCACATACGAACCATTCACAAGGTGATGAAATTGTTGAATTTAAGTCATCTGCAACAGCCTGCTTTACTTCTTCCTTTGCAGCAACCACGGCTGTAACTGAGTCGGTGGTTGCCATTAAAGAAGCCACTTCTGAGTTCATCCTATTAACAGCTTCACTTCTTTCACTGCCTTCTTCATGGTAGTCTTTATCTGCCTCGGTCTCTGAGGATTTGAATGGAAGTATGCTCCTTGTTTGAGAATGCAGATAGGAAGCTGCAGAAGCAGCAATATGATAAGCAGCAGATGGACTTATTCGATATCCATAGTTCTTTTGCTCCTTTACTTCCGCATCTTCTTCCTTGTCTTCCTTAAGGTTTTTTTCAGTTTCTCGAATCTCAGCTGACCCCTGATCTTTCTCAGTTTTAGCAGTCAATTCCTTCTTCTCTACTGAAGAAGTAACAAAACGCAGACCATACCTTCTTAGAAGATTTCCCGTCTGAATTTGAAACTAAGTCAGAATAAGTTCTTATTATGCATGTAGCCTTTATATAGGAATTGAATTGGTTGATGGTAAATTAGATACATGAGATGGAATATGTGAGATTCGGGAGTGATTATCTAATTTAAGGCAAAATGTAACTATAGCATCATATACATATCATGAACCTCAAGTTATTAAGAATTCAGTAATGCCATCAAACGAGTAGATACAAACTGCCCGGAATCGATAAACAGCAGAACACGAGACCCGAGTGATGCCTTATTACAAGATGTATAAACTTCTTCTTAACACGGAAAAATTCCTAACCGAGGTAAACAACTAATATCTATTCAATCACATTCCTATCAAATGCAGAATTCACTACCTCAGGTGCAGACGCACGTCAAAGGAAGACAAATTCCATAAGATTTTCCAGAATTCAGACGACGAGGTCTTATGACTCATGAATGAGCCCATTTAATTGGCTTACCAGATACAAGTGCTGGATTGGAGAAATTATGGAGACATTAAACGAGGACGCAGACAAACAAAATAGGAAGCTACAAAAACAGATTTCGAAGAAGCAGCCTAATAGGACTAACTGGTCAGGCAATCAAATCAAAGACGACCAAAATTGCTGGATTACAAAACACGAGAAATTGTAACATGGGAAATTGGGACCAAACCAAATCAGAAACTATAGAAACCTCAATTGGGAATGAAGGAATGATGTGTGCGTACCTGGATTTTAGGAATGGAATAAGCTAAGCTCCCCAAATACGACATTTGAGCATAAAACCTCGCCTCCGCCAACGAGACCTTCCGAAGCAACCGACGAAACGTGTCTTTATCAAACTCGGCCTCATCTGAAACACTACAACAATTATTTTCGTCATCGTCTTCCTCCGAGTCATCATCCACCATGGTTTTTCTATCTCCCGTGGGTAGCTCTGCAACGCCGCCACTCTTGCCTCCCTGCTGTTCCTCTCTCCTGGGTAGAGAAAGAGACCTCACGTGCAAAATCTTCAAAACCCAGTTCCCACTTTGACCGTCCGACGCCCTGGTCGCACTCTGGAGCTCCTCCTCCTCGCCCTCCTCCTTAGAGGACAAGGGGACGGCGTCGTCGAGAGCCATCCCATTGTAGGCGGGTCCACCACCTCTTGCTGCTCCAGGCCATAAGGATTTCAGAGGGTGCTTGAATGAGAATCTGGAAAACGGCGTTATCCTTTTCTGAGCCGCGGTTACGGTTGACTTGTCAATCCCAGATGCGGAGGAGCAGCCGATGGCGCTCACCTGAGACGGAGATGGGCTCGTACGGACATCGAGGGCTGCAGCCGCTGAGATGGTGGAAGATAGGCCGTGTATCCCTGGCGCAGTTGTTTTCAGACAAAGAGCATCCATTTCTTGAGACTCCCTGCTTCCTTTCCTCTTCTTTTTGATGTATAGAGAGAGAGAGAGAGAGAACAAATATGATTAATGGGGATTTTGGTTTGATTTTGTGTTGGGAGGTTTTGGTTTGATTTCGCAAAACACGTAAACAAATAAAAAACTTGCAAGGCGTTAACCAACCATTTACAAATAAGTAAAGTCTCTGAATTCAAATTTGGGTGGGTCGTCTGTGTTTCTTTCTTGCACGTAGCTACAGGAAATGGAACTGAGAGGGAGAGAGGGGCCTTTTAACGCGAGGCGAGAGAGAGAGAGAGAGAGAGAGAGAGAGGAAAAAGACGAAGAAGAAAGAAAAGGAAAGGGAAAGGGGTTTGTTTGTAATTTTGGGAGTTTTGTAAAACCACAAATGCTCACCAAACTTGCAACTTTGCAAGTCACGCTCTTTTCAACCTTCTCTCAACTGCATATTTGATAATAAACCTTTTTTTGACCGAAATGGAGAAATAGAAAGGGCCGAATAAGGCGATGGTTTGGATTTGAAAACATTTTCCATTTCCGAATGTTGTAGCAATGTAGCGTGCATTAACGTATTGAATATAAGGGTTTGGAGACAGCCCCCAACCATGACCCACCCCACCAACGTTTTACGTTTCATCACTAAATTGTTTGCAACTTCATAAAATATTTTATGGGTATTGATTGCGTTCAAATTTCAATAGCTGCTATACATGTTCCCTATTAGACTATCAATTTAATAATAATGCATTAGGGAATTTAGAGAGTTTTGGTATACCTTGTTCGTGAAAAAGTGGCATTGGAGAGTCATCGTGTTCACTTTATTATCTTTGTTGATCAGCATGTTGATATGCTCACAAAGCCTCTCCACAAGATGCATTATAGAATCTTTTTCGAATTATCTTTGTGAATATCTGAAATATCAATCAATCGTATTCGTTCATCGTACATTGGGCGGTTAGAAATCATTTTAAATTTTAAATATTAAATTAAATATAAATAGTACATAATGAAAACTAACATAATATTATACGATGAACGAATATGATTGATTGATTTCCGAACCCGCACAACAAAGATACGGAGAAGTTCCTTGTCCGTAAAGAATAAGAATCTACGGATGGATCATATGTGTGACGTGTCCTTAATAAAAGGCTCTATCTTTCTTTGTACCAATCTTTTTTATTCGCTACGCAACAGAGTAGCAACAAAACAAAAAGTCGACGATATTGAATTAGGAAAGAAAGAATGGATATGTGCTCACACATGCATTGCAGACACTATTATTATTCTGACTCAGCTTCTTCTACATTTAACACGTGGCCATGACACACCCCCCTGCGTCCTGTCCCTCTCTCAACACTTTATATGTATGAAACTAATTCGTAAGGATATTACAATTTACAACGTAGTAATTAATACTTTTTTTTTGTCAAAAATAAATTTAAAAAAACAAAAACAAAAACCATGCGTTGTTGTGTTGTGTGTGTTCCTACTTAATACCGGTGTATGGTATAGTGTGATCCATTGAGTATGGTATTTGGTTGAAGCTAAACTATTATAACGGAAAAGTCGGCGGAGTAGGATTTTGAAGGCAAACCCACCCTTTTAAGGCAAAACACAAAGGACAAAAGGTAATATGCCTTATTAGCTAAGAAAAAAGGGTGAGTAGAGCTTTCCCCCCTTAATGTACGTTGCTGAGGCACTAAGCAGGCACACCTTTTTCTAATTTTTGACGTCCCTTTAAATGAGGAGTTGGTTTTGATGTCTCACAACACAAGCATGCAAAAAGAGTCTGCTTCCCTTCTTTTGTAGGTGGGAAATTATTGGGATGCCAATTTGGAATCGTCACCAGCCTAAACTAGTTGTGAGTGAGTTGAGTCTTGAGTGGGTGGAACTAGCAAGCAAGCAAGCAAGCAAGCAAGGTAGGTGGCTCATCCCCAACCTCCAACCAAAACTTGACCCAAATTGCAATTTTCACACCTTTGAGTCCCAAATCCAATCCATATCTAATAACCTTTGGACGTCTCATTAACCAGGCCCAATTCACGATCCAGTTTAACGGCTCTACTGTGGAATGTCGAATGCATGTAAATAATTCACAAAAAGATGATACAACAACAACAAAAGATATCTTTTTGTCGTAAAATGTTTCGCTCTATTTAGCTTAAACTCGGGAGGAGGGGCTCAGGGCTCAGGGCTCAGGGCTCAAACAACAACTCAGGGCCTTCTTAATGTCTCTCTACTCATCTCATCATGTTACAATTGGAAAACATTTTAAACTACCAAAACAAAAACAATATTATATATCCTCTATTCCTACTTACTTAGCCCAGAACCGCCTTGATCTTTGTCTTTTGATCATCTGTTAGCGAGTTCGGGAATAAAACCTCAAATGTTACGTACAAATCTCCTTTCTTGTTGCTGAAATGTAGAGGCATCCCTTCCCCTTTGAATTTCCTCACTTCCTTGGGCCTTGTGATTCCCTGCATCGATATCAACGTAAACCTCAGTTTAACCCATACTACTTATGAATCCCCTTCTCTCCCCATAGAAATTTTAAAGTAGAAAAGCATGACATATTTTAAAACAAATTTCCCTACAGGTGACAAGTACATGCCATGCTCACTCACCTTTGAGCTAATGTCCACCAAATGATCATCAAGGTGCTTAACAGTCTTCTCAAAGCCAACAAGAGCTTGAACCTGTATACACGTTACATTGTAAGCCCAAGAAATCAACTCCACATTCTACAACCTATAAACTTGTATTTCCAGTTTTAAGGTCCTTATGCTAGCTGCAACTTATTCCTAACCTGGCTAGCTAACGATAACAATAAAACCTAACACACAACTTAATTCAGCTCATACCAGTGTGATAGTGATAGTTGTGTGTAAGTCGTTGCCTTCCCTTTTGAACCGGTCGTGAGCTGCTGTGCGGATGCGGAACTGCAAAAACAATGCGGACAGTTATTGCCAGAACATGGCCAATGAATTATCAATTTACTAAACAAGGTGGCAAGGTCATAGAACTAACTTTTAGATCTCCAGGTTCTCCATCAATTATAGGTTCACCATCTTCATAGAAGACCACCTCCTGTAAAATGGCAGAATTCATCTCATCCGAATCAGACATGAGTATACTAATGAGAGCAACCATATCCAGGAAACTTTCAACTTTGCAAAACAGAACCCAGTTTCATAAAAGTTATACTCACAAATTGAAATATCAACCAGATTCATAAATTTACACTTACGAACTGGATTTGAAACAATATCAAGCAGTTCCATCAATCTTATTTGGAACAATAAATAAAGTTACCACTCACACTAAAAGCTTATATTTCAGAAGATTCAGAATGATACTCTGAAGGAATCAACAGGAATTAAAACACCAACACATATACGAGGGAATACATGAAAACACTGGGAAGAGATATTTGAATATGTGCATATGAGGAAGTTATGTGTTGTTAACTGACATAAGCAAATTGACAGAAATAAAAATTCAAGTTGCAAAAGAAAATGACGAATGAAAGCTTACTTGCCCATCTTGCATCCCTTTCTCAATATCAACAGTAACAAAATATCCCTCCCTTTCATATTTGACATTGGAACATTGGTCACAGACCTGAAAGAGCATAACAAGGTATGTAAGAACGGTAGTAGCATAATAGCCAGTGAAACTAATTGAAGAAAGGGACAGGGAAACAAAAGAGATAGAAATGCACTCAGAAGATTTTGCTGGAAGAAATGTTTGTTGAAGCATATACCTGTTCTGTCATCTGTTGGAACATCCCTGGACCGATTTGCCTGTGATATACCTCATTTCTGCAGTTACATCGTCTCTTCCCTGGTGCTGGCTTCAGAATGTTCTTCTCCCTCCAAACCTGATAAAGACAATGTACAATCACACACACAAAATATGGAAACATCTACCAGCCGACAGGCTTGGAAAACTTGGTTTATCTTGCATGTAATAAACGTAGAAACAAGATAGCAGCGACCATATCAGAGAGACAGCGAGAGAGAAACTAGTGATGCCATGCTATTGGCTACCACTAAAAATCATTTTCATTATATATTGTTTTCTGTCACAGTTGATGTGATTACTTCCCATTATTATTTTTTTGTTAAAGCTTACTTCCCATTATTGGAATGGTTCAAATGTAGCAAGTAAAAGTGTAGCATTGGCGAACAACTTCATACCTTTCACATTGTATGAGGAATGCTTAATATTAGATACTGGAAGATAGCAATGCATATTCTTAATTGAGAGCTTAAAAGCTATACATGTCTCTTGCCTTTAACGAGCCTCCCATATAGAGGTCTTCCAATGTTGCATCCAATTCAACGACTACATCTTCTCCCTTGATGATTCTATCTTCTTCTTCAGTAGGGCGTCCACCACCAAAAAACCTATATGAAACAGAAAAGGTGAGTTTTATGAAAAGTGCAACAAGTAAAGCTGTTTGCACCATTGTTTTCGGTCTCACTAAGCCCTCACTAAATGTGTGAAGTGGAGAGCAACCCCTTATCCTATAAAAGGGGCCCCTCACCCACATCTTAGGGTTCCTTGGTTCCTCATCATTTGGAAACTCTCAGTTCTCTATATGTACAATGTAACCCACATTATAGTAAAATCTAGACATAACTCAACATGGACTGAATTGGATAAACCACGATCAATCAGTGTTTGTGTGGTTCCATAGTCTCTATCTCATTGAATGGTTATTCGGAATCAATACCAGCTACCGCTACCTTACTTTTAAGTAAGTAATTGAACTCAAACATGCTCCCCCAGGTCCATAGATTAGAGACATTAAATCTTAAAATTCTAGTTTTTCAGTTTTGAATTGGTGTAGGTTGCAAACATGAATGAATTACGATGTGATGTGAGTAATTGTACGGAGTAGGGAAACTGAAAAGTAAAGCAATAAAATTGAACGAAGCATACTCGGAAAAAATGTCGTTGATGTTCATTCCCATGCCGCCGCCACCTCGGCCTCCACTAGCTGCATGCTGTTTCAAACCATCTTCTCCGTACCTATCGTATATGTTCCTCTTCTCGCTATCCGAAAGCACCTCGTATGCTAATCAAATCAATCAAAGGACCTACTATTATTCTCAGCATCACTGTCATTGATTATTATAGCTAGGAAAAAGAATTGAGATTTGAGAAAGAAGGAAGGAAAGATACCATTGTTAATGTCGGCGAATCGTTTGTTGGCCTCTTCGTTGCCGGGGTTCTTATCAGGATGGTACTTCAAGGCGAGCTTCCGGTAAGCCCTCTTGATCTGCTCGTCGGAGGCTCC